TCAGTCAGGGAGCCAGCAAGGCCACAGCCCACACATCCAGAGGGGCGGAGGCCTCAGTCAGGGAGCCAGCAAGGCCACAGCCCACACATCCAGAGGGGCAGAGGCCTCAGTCAGGGAGCCAGCAAGGCCACAGACAGCCACTGCAGGCAGACAGCTGTGCCTCAGTCTGGGCTTGTTTTCCTCTCCAGGTACAGATGAAGGGAGACCAGAACGTTTCATAAGACCTTCGTCAGGTTAGGACCGTCTCCGCTGGACTTGATCTTAGAGGGCTGCATTATGGCCTAGCACCTGTATGACCATAAGTTTGATTTTTCCTCCTTCTTTCGTGAGTTTTGTCCAGTTTCAAACTCAATTCACAAATGAGTGATTTGTACATGCAAGATGCTATGGGGCCAGAACCTTTTTCCCATGGATGTCCGACATGTGCCTGAGTGCTTGTTGGGAAAGGCCTGGCCTTCAGGATTCTCCACAGCGTGTCCTTCTTGAGGGTAGCTCTGTATCTGCTGCTGCCTTTTTTGCATTAAGCACTGATGATATTTCAGCGTTCATATGTTCCCAGCAGGGGCATCATTAGGCCTGTTTTAGGGGGGATTTAGCCGCCCTAAAATGTTTTTAGCCCCACAAATAAATGTGTATTTATTGGCTTTTTATATTGTATATAAGTTTGCCATTGCCCCCCAATAAAGATTCAACCCCCTATCCATTCATCTTAAACTATGCCCCTGGTTACCAACATAAGTGTATATAAACATGCTAATTGGAGGAAGATGATGGTAGACCAGTGTGTCAGCATTTTAAGCCCCCAGGACAGCAATAAAAGCATTAAACAATTATTCCAGTTACAGGGGCCTAAATGAAATAAAACTGCATAAAAATGGAACTGTTTGTAATTGGGTAAGTTACTATATCCTGATTTTCAGCTGTCAGTTTGAGAGCAATGGAGTCACAGTGACCGTGGTCTAAGTCTCCCAAAATGGTGTTTGATGTCCCTGCAATTATTTCTACTTTTCTGCATATTTACAGTAAACACAATACGATAATGTTTCAGTAGACTGGGTAATATGCATAACCTGTAATTTGAAGATTTGAAATCAGAATGAGAGAGACTGTGTGTGTGTGTGTGAGAGAGAGAGAGAGAGAGAGAGAGAAAGGGGGAGGGAGGGGGGAGAGAAGGNGCAGATCAAATAATAAACATAAACCTTAGCAGGGGCATCATACTACCGACCCTGAGTATTATTAATTGACAAGCAGAGTCCCATCCATGCACTGATGGAGGGTAAGGTAGACTCGATGAACCTGACTTTTCAGGAGCTGATGGCCCAAAACCAGACTCACACAGAGATTCACCTTTTAACAGCCACAGTATAAAATCTCTGCCTTATCTATCTTATACATGTTTATTCAGTTTTACAAATAGCACCAAAATGTGAGATTTGAATCCCTTTTTCCTTACAGTTCCTACAGCTCTTTCAAGAGTGGATATAACTTTACATTTTGTCTAAACAGTGCCAGTCAATTCATTAGGTGACATAGGCAGCTGCAAGCCTGTAGCCAGAAATAAAACCTGTTATTTTACTACATGCCTGGGTAGCTGAAGGGGGCTACCTTCCGTGGGGACATCAATTTCCCACCAGTACTGCGTCTAACCAAAAGGTACAACATTATAGAGACATAAAGTGTCATGCCCACAGGGGCGGGGCCCGATAGGTGCACGGCATTAGGGAACAATTAAACTTCTTTAAAGGGAGAACAAACCCCAGAAACAGGGCTGGACTGGTAATCTGGCATACCGGGCAAATGCCCGGTGGGCCGACACACTTGGGGGCTGGTCGATATAATATGATTTTTTATTTTTTTTTTATTGGCCAACGACCAAAGCAGGGACAGCGGCCCATTGGTTCATTTTCCATACTGACACTGGGCTGGCCTAATCATCTCTTAACAGGCTCCACCCCTCCCCCTCTGTTTCTTGTGTCAGATGTAGTCTGACTATATAGTATATGCATATCTACAGGGACCGCAAGGATGGTGTACTTGTTGGTTGTGTCCGACCGATTGTGGTGGGCCGGTCTGAGCAAAAATGCCAGGGCCCTTTTTTTGTCCCAGTCCAGCCCTGCCCAGAAACACTCGCGAAGTATTGCGCTTATGTCACAAAGCCTTACCAAGCATTTATCTTGTCTCCCATTTGCCTGCCTGCCCTCGCCTTACCTGTCTGCCCCGTGTTCGTTCCTTACCCTTGTACCTTCCTTCCTCAGTCCAGATCCCGTCCCTGATCCGCCTGTCCCGCCGAGCCCAGCCTTCCCCGTTCATCCCGTCCTGTCTGTTCCTGTCTTGTGCCTATTCGTCGGATGGCTCTTCATGGTAACGACCTCTGCTTCTGCATTACGACCTCAATTACTGCGCATCCCCTACCAGCTTACCTGTCATCCGCGTGGGACGGGGCATTCGCATCAGCCACTCACCCGGGATTCGGGCACCCGGACGGAGGACACAGCGAACCCAGCGGATGCCTTTCTAATCCTGTCCTGTGTCAGTTTATTAAACTACTGTTCTTACCACATTTCT